AATCCCTTGCAATTACTTTATTAGTCTGATAATAGGTAACGCGGAATTCCACCACAAATGAAAACAAAAATTCGCCATCTGATTCGCTCGGGTTTCGACGTAATTTGCAGTCAATACAAATATTCAGTGAATGCCGAATTCCATTTAGAACGATTGTACAGTCTTTAAATATTATTTTCAAGTGGTTCCGAAAATTTCAGACCGGAAATTTTTCCGTAGATGCCAAGCCCCGGAACGTCGACCAAAATCTTTTACTGTTGACGTCACTTTAGTTCTGGTCAAGTTAAAAATTTATGAGTCATCTGGCATCCACGAAGTTTTCGCTCCCATTTTACCGAAACAAATTCGTAAATAGTCACTATAGCAACTTTAGTAAAGTCGTTACTGGTGACGAATCTTGGTTCTAATACAAGTACTATGCATAAACCAACCAGCAGTCCACGGTATGCAGCTCAACAGGAGCAACAAAAATCAGCAGCAAAAGTAATGACGTCAGTTAACTTCAATCGATATAAAATCGTGGCTGGTTTTCCACTGGAAAAGGGTTAGACGGTAACTGAAAAATGGTACACCAAAGAGTACTTAACAAAAAATTTCAAAAAATTGTTGGAAAACAGGAAGAAAGAGGATTTGGTGCGCTACTTTTTACATCATAACTTTTTACATCATAAGCCGCTGCAATAACGAGTAATTTCAATGCGATCTATGGGATCGCAGAAAGACGCCCAGCACCATATTCCACGTATAAATCGCTTTGTGACTTCTGGTTATTATTATTATTATTATTTACAAAGATTACGAGCATATAGTTAAAGCATTTAATGCTGAATATGATAAGCTTAACAAGCAAGATTTTGATTGATTACTGTTTTCATAAGTGGATCTATAGGCTTAAGAAATACATTGAAATCAAAGAAGATTATGTAAAGAAAATAAAAAATTCCAAAGCTTAAATACAAAATAAATACAAAAATTATTGTTGGTTTCTCACCGAACATTTATTAATACCCGCGTATTTTGTATGCAACTACAATCGCCAAAGTCAACAATTGTGAAATACTTGAACTTGAATTATTAATAAATAACAACAAGGGCAGCAGCAGACGCCTTTAACTGTTGCATTGTACAAATGTGGAATTGTGTTAATTAAAATATACACATACATATCTATGGATGTGTATTTGCAATTTATAGTGCACGCGAGCTGCATGCAGTTTTTAGTTTATTTTTTTAATATCTTATCATCGATGTTATGGTACAGTGGGTTAAGGGTTAAAATAATGCTGAGTTGAAAATACAAAAATTATCCAAAACCATAGAAGAAAGAGCCGCTTACGGCCAGGCCAATGGCTTCACAACTTTCATGGCTATGTCGGATTTGTGGTATATAATTTTAGTATGTAATATTTATTACCGTTAATAGAAAATATGTTTGGAGGGGGCGCCATGATATAGATCACAGATTTCGGTGATTTTGTGGGAGATTATTTATATGTAGAGACGAATGCTTAATACAAAATCTCATGGTCTTAGATACTTGTTCGGCATAGTTTCGGCAAACCTCTCATATGGGAACATATTGGGAGCTATAAGTTATAGACGCTCGGTTTCGATCATTTTTAATGTTAATGTGTGATTATTCAATAGTATGTAAAGTACTAAGTTTCATGCTCTTGGTTGCATTTTTGACGGATTGGTCCGTCCGAACGGGCCGATTCCGACAAATGATCGTTTAAATATAAAATCCGTATACCAAGAATGATGGAAGTGTCTAAAACAATGAATGACGACATGGCTAAATCATGATATCGATATAAATTTAGATTCATCTAATATGAAAAACTAAAAATTTAGCTGTAACAAATTCACAATATTTTATTATTTTTGCAAGATTAAAAAATTTATTCTCGTTTTGTTTGTTTCTCACTCCGTTCATTCTCATTGCGAAATCGTTGCAAAATGACACACAGTGCAACGCGCCTACCATGACTCGCACCTTTTTCGCACAACATATTGGCTGACACACGGTGACAACCACCTATCAGTAAAATATAAGTAATAAAGCGCATATTCGCGTGAGCTAAAAATGTTAAGCAAATACGCTTACATAAATGAATAATAATAAAATCACTCTTATCGTTGTTATCATTTAATGGTAGCAAACACACTGTTATTTTTGTATGAAATGCTACATCTTACATTTATCTATGACATATAGCGTGTGATTATCCATACATATGTATGTAAGTTTATGAGCCCCGTTGTCGCAAACTAAATAATTTAAACAGACATTCTTCGCTGGTACACTGAGCTAGTATTTTTTTAGATCTAAAATTTATGAATAAATTTTGTTTATATTATATCGTATAATTATTAAATAACTCCCATATTAACTAATCTTCAATTTGTTTTCATATACTGTGGACAAAGAGTTAGATGAATTTGTTTGTAAAATAAAAAATCTTTACGGTGCAATGCACTTATGAAAACGGTTTTTCCAATTATCAAAGCATGTCAAATAATCACGTTCTGGTATGGCCTTCAGAGAGCGCGCCGATTCACATTTAATCTCCTCAATCGACTCAGAACAGTGTCCTCGAAGTGGTCTCTTGAGTTTTTGGAAGAGCCAGTAGCGACATGCTGCTAAGCACAGCGAATACGGTGGTTGGGGATACGATATTCATGGAATTTTCAGCGAAATGTTCATGAAGAAATAGAGCTGTGTACGACGGTGCATTATCGTGATACAAAAACCAAGAATTGTTGGCCTATAACTCTGATATTTTTTTGCGAATTGCTTCACGTAAACGACGCTTATGATATTCAAATATTATTGGTAAGGTTTCTATCACTCAATCGACGAATTTGAGCACTAATTTTTTAATTTCGTGTTGATGTATTGTACATCACTTGACGTTGATGGTCGTCCCGAGCGCTCCTCTTTGAAGTCGTTCTTCTGTGACATAGTTGTGTCCCCAAAGGCTCTCTGTAGTATCCTCAACGCTTCAGCAGCCAAAAATTCGTTCCACATACAAAATTTGAACGCACATTATAAAAATCGCCGAAGGCACTTTTCGACGTTTAGTAAACGCAAGCATAACTGAAATACCAATTATGACATTGACATGAAATTTGGCGTAGATGCCAATAACAGTGCTACCAACATAAAAAAAGAATTACCGGAAATATTAAACGCGCGAAGTTCAAATTAAAAATTGACCTTACTTTTTGCTCACAGTATAATATTTAAAATCTGTTTTAAAAACTCGAATTGTAGGCTGAAATAATTAGTTGTGCATAAAAATTCAAATTATGTTAATTAATTAATTAATTTAATTTAATTTATCTATGCATTTGTATATAATTGAAAGCCTTAATTTTTAATGTAGATAAGTACGAAAAATATTGTGTACGGTCAAGAATGGGTTATGCTTGCGCCACATCAAGAAAAGCGTCCGAGTAATACTTCCAGAATTCGAAAACTTTCTTTATTTCATTTTTAATAAGAATTACTTTTTCAATTTGTTCCAAGGCAATAGGCTGGGTGGTCTATATGATGACGGCGTGGTTACGTGTTTATCTTGTTAAGCTATCATATTTATCTACGACTCTTTCCATATTTATAAAAAATATCCTAGCTTTAATGTGGCACCAAAATAATTTGCATGAAAAATGAGAGAAATACTTGGCACTTGCTTTAGTATTTATGATAAGATATGATTGCTTTTCGCAGATTTTTTGGAATTTAAGGCGGTAATAATATTTTTTAGTTCAGCTAATGCTGAATCGATTACACCTGATACGATAGTATTAGGTTATCTATTTCATGGTTTCAAAAGCACAGGTCGGCATAGAAAATCCAGTTCATACAACAACTGCAGCCAGCTGACCAATTTGTCCTTACAACAAGCAGTATTATGAACAAAATTGTGCGCTTACTCGGGAAGTGTCGAAAATGTGGAAAATTTTCCCATGTAGGACCACGAGTATCTTTAAATAATTGAAAAAAGGCCATTGTACTCAAAAAAAAAAAAATATGTCTGGTGCTCTCCTTTCTCCGGGGGTGTTGAACAATATGTTGTGCTACATGACACACAACACGGTCGAACATAGCTTTATTGCGTGGGAAATTTCCCGGTTTCGTAATCTCTCGCCTGAGCGATGTCAGTTGGCCACCGAGATCGTGCGGCCGTATTTATGCGGTTTACTCTTGAGCACTTTAAAACCAACATTCGTCAAGTGATAGCTTAGGTAGAGCTCATGTGTCAAAAAAAGTGGTGGGCGGATCAAAGTTTGCTAGAATTCGCTGAGCAGTCATTTGAACTTTTGTATGAACTCTTAAAAGTATTCATCGGATTTGGCCCCATGCGACTTTTTTTGTTCCCAAAACTGAAGCTACCACTCTGTAGAACCGGTTTCGACTCTATCGTGCCCGTAAAAGAAAATTCGCAGAGTAAACTGAGGTCGGCAGATTTCAACGGCTGCTGCAACAACAAACTAAAGGCAGTTAAGGGCAGTGCTAGCAACTTAACTAAAAAAGTGCTGAAAAATATTCGGCGGGGGAAATTCAAATGACAATTTCCCGAAATTTTCTGATCTTAATGTATATTTATTATTTCATTTATTTATTACCCGTAAAATTAACCTTTTATTTTAACATTAGAATTTAATTTACCCTTTCATTGGATGTTCGGATTTTTTATTTTGACCAATAGCAATAAAATGTATTAATATACTATTTTTTTTTGTATTTGGCTAACCTTCCTATGTAAATAAATATATATTTATAAGTGTTGTTAAATAAATTGTATTATATAAGAAAGAAAATGCAAAATCACTCGTTTATTTTCCCAGTGTTTCACCAAGTACTCAAATTAAGTCAATTTAATACCCATATAAACATACATGTATATATGTATATATAATATATAGCGAAAATTAAAACTGGAAACAATATTTTAAAGATAACTATTCTGTTGCTTCAGTTTATAAATAAACGCAAGTTAATTTGCAAAATTTCTTCCAGTCATCAGCTTCAATTCAGCACTGCAACAACTCGTGAACGTGTCGTGAAAATGGCACCTAATAATCACAACTACAATGCGGATGAATTGGAGGCACCCGCTTGGCTGAACGATGATTTCTTCATCAAGGTATTGCGGAACTTCGAAACAGATGCCAAGGAACTGCGGCTGAGAAAGACCGAACTATCGCCGGCAACATTGAAGGGCGATCACTATGCGAGCGTTATGTTTCGCGCAACTGTGGAGTATGAGTGTGACGGAGAGAATAAATGCCAAAGGATGATTATGAAAACAATGCCAGAAGTGGATGGGCATAAGAAGGAAATGTTTGAGGATTCAATTATATTTGAGACCGAAATCGATATGTATACACGGGTCATACCACGTTTCGAGCAGATTTTACGTGACATTGGCGATGAAACCGTGTTGCGTGCGCCGTAAGTCGACAGATACACAGGAATTTCTTGATTCTCTACAACATTTTTTTTCTTCATTCTTAGAATACTCTTTCATGAACTGAGCCCGCAAAAAATTATCATATTCGAAGATATTGTGCCACTGGGCTATGAAGTGCTGCGTGATCGTTATGTAAATAAAGAGGAGCTTGAAGCGGCCTACACCAAACTGGCCAAATGGCATGCCATAAGCTATAAGATAAATTTGGAAGTCAGTATGCAAATTAAGAATTCTGAGTTAAAAAATCTTGTATTTAAAATCGATTTATTTTTCATAAAGGAACCACAATATTTCGAAAATTATCGCCAAGGTTTACTGGCTATGCCTAAGATCGAGGAAAATGAATTTATGCCACATGGTGTTGGGCTACTGATTGAGCAGTTGGAGACAATGCCACAAATGTGTAAATACGTTCCATATATCAAGTCGATTGAGCAAGATCTGTTTAAAGGTGCCATCGCCGCCTTCAGGGAATATCACGAGGCGCGCAGAGAAAACGCCTACTATGTGCTCTGTCATGGTGATTTCCACAACAAAAATATGATGTTCAAACATGATGCGAGCACGGGAAAACTGGTGGACGTAATGCTATTGGATTATCAGCTGAGTTATGTCGGTCCAATGATAAATGATCTAATTTACTCGTTTTTATTTTAAGGGAAGTGTTGATTTATTGATAATAAAATGTTGTTTTATAGTTTCTATATAGTATTCTAAATAGTATTCTATAGTTTATTGAAAAAAATCATAATAGATAAAATTTAACGCAGCTTAACAGTAAACAATTATTTTTCAAAAATATTTGATCCTCTTGTTCCTGTAGACGCTCTCCAGCAGCGCCTCTAAAAAAAGATGTCTGGCGGTGAGGAAGATATTTCTGTTTCAAATTTGATTTTATTTTACTTTAAGTTCTTTTCTAAATACAACTTATTTTATTTTATATAATTTCATTTTAAAATATTTTATTCTATTTTTATTTTTATGTTATTTTATTTTATTTTATTTTACTTTTTTTTAATATTTTATTTTATTTTATGTTTTTTATTTTATTTCAATTTATGTTGTTTTATTTTATTCCATTTTATTTTATTTTTCTTTGCCTTTTTCTATTTTATTTTATTTTATTTTATTTTATTTTATTTTATTTTATTTTATTTTATTTTATTTTATTTTATTTTATTTTATTTTATTTTATTTTATTTTATATTATTATTTTTTACTTAAGTTTAGCATATTCTATTTCATTTTATTATATTTTATTCCATGTTATTAATTTTTTTGATTTTTATTTATTTTAGTTTATTTTATGTTATCTAATGTTAGCTTTTTTTATTTTTATCTCATTATTTGGGGAAATGAAAGAAAATTGTACTTTTCGATTACAAGTTTTTAATTTATTGTTATTGTGTTGAACCATATTTTGAAAACAGTCCATGTCTCTGGCGTTGGCAGTGTTGTTGCATAACGGAATCAAACTAGCATCACTGCCGCTTTCTCAGTGTTTCTGTGTGAAAATATCAAACTTATATTTAAAAAATTTAAATGCAATATCCATGCTTGGAAAGTTTATAGCGATTTTAACGTCCCTGCAATTTTGCTTGTAATATTAAAATATCAATTTATTGTAAACTTAGTTGATAGGAAATATTTTTAATTACTGAAAGTTCATTTATTGTAGGAGAGTGCAACAACATAATATATTAAATAAAACCTCTTAGCAAAAATAAAATAAAAAAGGAAAAGACGAAGAAATTGTAGCAATAGTGGCAAAAGTATTGAAGCAAGGACTCTTACGCATACATAAATCAATTATGTTCTGAGCCCTTGTAGCCATTGTGACTTTATTGCTTTTTCTTGCAGCCATAATATTTTTATTGTAAAAATCTAGGCGAGCACTCTTACAAGTGCATAGATCCTTAGATGCTATTGTTCATTACATTGCTAATTTGAGTATCCACTCGGAGAGTGCTATGTGGTCAGCGACTAATTGCTCTCAAGTGTGTGTTTTAGCCTTTTATTCATTTTGATATATGATTTATTTATGGTTTTATGAATTTTGTATATATGTATTCGTATAATTCTGTATTGCGCATCAAAGAAATGGGAGACGGAAATGTGTTGATGTTGACAAAGAAAATATGGTTTTTTACACATTGCAGAACATCAACATTTATTTTTATTTACATATACATACAATATATATATAATATATATATATAATAAAGAATATATACCGCCGGTGGAATGGTTAAAGAAGTGACAACTCAGTTTTCTATACACACTCCGCGCTCAGACGATTACACTTTATCTAGCTTGTGGAGATGAAATCTTAGGAGTGAACGCCAACAATAATTCTAAGTTATCTTTTGTCCAATGTAATCAACAGTTTATGCTGTCCACTATCTAGGCTTTCCAACAATAATTTTTGGTACGTCTTAAGTTAGAAAATTTCCAGAATCTTAAGCAATCCTTCATGGCTTACTGTTCATAACAATATTTATAAGTGCTGTGCCAAATTAATGGCTGTGTAAATGACGGTAAGCAATATTTATGTCAATAGCCACCTTGCGGCATTATTTTTCTGCAATATTCTTATGTTTGCTGCCTTAAGCTTCACAATTATTAAATCAAAATTTGCGATGAATTTTCTTATTGTATAAAGCCTGGGGATACCAATGAAAGCAGACTAGACACTGTCGTAATTGTTATGTATATATATTTGTATATATGACCTTTAAAGTCACATTTTGAACTTTAAATAATTTGATTTAAAATGATTTTAAAAATATTTAATATTTATTTGAAAACAGTATTAAAATATATATACAATAAAAGTTATAGCTCGCTACAGCCGTTCTCAAATTGTAAAATGACAACTCAATCGCTCACGAATTTTTTTTTATTAACGCGTGTGGGAGTTAACCACAGAGAATTCAGAATTCAAAAAAGCTTCTCATGAACCATATACATGATAACCCGAGTATACCGCATATCTCTGGTTAAGTTCGCTGTAACCGTTTGGAGGAGCATTGCCGAAAATCACATCAGCGGTAACAAAGCCTTATCTATATATAAATAATTTCGATTCAAGCAAAGGATCAATTATGAACCGAAAACAATATAACTTAATTAAACAATTCAGAGAAAGGAAAATAATTAATTCGATAAAACATTACACAAACATTTTAGGCCGTGGACGTAAATTAGTTTAGCATAATAACAAGAAATTAATATTTTCCTGAAATTAAATTTAATTTAATTTACTTAGATAAATTAAAAAGAAAATACCAAAGCGTTGCCTCACTGTGACGCTTAACGAATTCTATTTATATATTACTTCTTTTTCATAACTTCCATGTAATCCATTATCTCATTTCACTTTTGTTGGGCAGATTTTCAATTTAATTCAATCGAATTGCTGCTGGGCCCAGCTCATGCACTGAATAGGATTATATGATTATTTGATGGTCACTAACATTTCGGAGAATTAAAATTGAATATAAGAATAATATTTACAAGCAAATGCGTAGAAGCTTGTACATAAAGAAGAAAGTAAAGTATCCGTACTTATTCTACTGAAATTCTATCATTTTATTTTGTTAGAATGTAACATTTTACGGAGAATTGAAGTGCCTAATTTGCCATTGATTTTTGTTGACATTTATAGGGCTTAAATTATAATTCAATAGAAAAAAAGGTTTATTGTGAAGTGGCAGCTGCATTTGGTTATCAAAATCTGGCAGGAGTGAGTAAAAATTCGAATGAGCGCTTGTAAACATTTCTTAAGGCATTTAAATTAAAAAAAAAATAATATTAATTGCAACGAAGATAAACAAAATTTCAGGAAAAAACACTGTGCACTCAAAGTTAAAAAAAAAGAAAACACACAGTAAAGACTTTCTTCTCCTTTTTTGTCCGATTAAAGCCAAATAAATGAAATTATTCCACTCCTTTTCTTCTTTAACGCTCAACGACATGACCTAGCCATCTTCTTTTCATCTGTTTCATATTGTCTCCATAATCCCCATTTAAATGCATCTCTTAAGCCTATACATCCACTTCTAGAAACAGTTTTCAAAATTTTGTTTTTTAAGCTTATCAAATTCCGTATAACCGCATTAATTATCTGCTCATTGCTATTAAAGGCCTTTAATTTTAATATTTATTAATTTTTGAAAATAACCAAATATTACAATGTAATTTATATGGATCATTTGGTGGTCTTTCTGCGATCCTAGAGATTGCAATAGAATTAAAAAGAAGCCTTGCAAACTCCCTTTCTTCCTGTTTTCCAACAAATTTTTAAATTTTGCTGCTGTTTAACGGGTGAGCTTGCTCCTGTTGGGCTCCATACCAAGGACTGCTGATTGGTTTCTGGATCGTACTTATAGAACCAAGATTCGTAACCAATAGCGACTTTAATAAAACTACTAGACTGACAATTTTCGAATTTGTTTAGGAAATATTGAGCAAAATGCACTCGAGCCTCATTTAAATTTGGTTGTACCCATCGAGCAGATTTCTTCATGTGTGCGGGGTGACCAGAGCTACAGTGAGGCCACCAGTAGAAGATTTTGGTCGACCTTATCTGGGCTCATACTCTACGGGAAAATGTCTGCTCTCGATTTTTTGGAACCACTCGGAAATAGTCTTTAAAGACGGTGCATGTGCCAACATACCATCGTTTAAGTGTACCAGTGTATCTTTGTACCTAATTTGCTTGAATGATCTCAAAAGCTGAGGTACTAATTTGTGTAAAAACTGGGGGCATACGAACACGCAGAAAAACAGTAAAGTGTGCATTTCAAAAAAAAAAAAAAAAAATCAACTCGTCCTTTTCAACTGATCGGCATAAGCTTTTTTGGGATCTAACTCTTTTCACACCTGTACTTATATGTATACTTCGTTATTACAACATTTCATTTTCGCGAATTGTGAAAAAAAAAATTTTTCTTAAGGCTTCGAAGGCATACATTTTTTTATAGAGAGAAAAGGAATCAAATTACATTTTCTGGAGTTAAAGGAAAAAGATATGTATATCATACATGTAATTTAATTATTTATATGCTTATAAGGGATATCTCACCTTTTCATAAATTTCCTTCACTTTAAAACAATTTTCGTCACTTAAATTTTAAGTAAAGGATGATTTTTTAAGAGCTATAGTAAAGTTAAAAAAACCATAATATTTACAAAAATGTATGCAATCTATATTTTAATCGATAGTGCGGTCCATATAATTTAATGTTTGAAGGTTATTTCATGCAAATATCGACCGTGACTGCGCCTCAAATGGTCCATTCGCTTATTCCAATTTCGGCATACTCTTTCCAACTTTTCCGCCGGTATCTCACGAAGAAATGCTTTAATTTCGTCCTCCAATGCGTCATTTGAAGCGGGATTGTGTGCATAGACATTAGATTTAACATAGCCGATAGCCGATCGAACGATCTAGGCGGCCAATTGACCGGTCCCGAACGTCAATTAGTCCATTGTTACCCGTGCTGTGTGGCATTTGGCACCGTCTCGTTGAAACCACATGTCCTGAAAGTAAAGCTCTTGCATTTTGGGCAAAAAAAGTTTGATTTCATCTCACGGTACCGCTCACCATTCCCAATTACATTACAATTCGCATCATATTTGAAAAAGTACGGTCCAATGATGCCACCAGCCCATAAGCCGCACCAAACTTGCAAGCGTTTCTCGTTTGTAATACGATTCATAGTTGAATTAGGCCAAACTGAAGATGTTTGACAATGATGAAAAACTCGAAAAGTGCATC